CTTTGGATCCATTTCCTCTCTTGGGCCATTTGATTTGGGCTGCCGTTTCGTGTGTCAACAGTAATAATTGGCAAGGGTTGACATAAATAATTAAATATGGTACATATGCCAACCTTTGCATTTTTATCATTTTCATTTCTATAAGTAGTGCAATGTGTATAATATTTTGATACTAATAAATTTCTTGCGTTGAGTTTTCTATCAATAGTTATTAGTCTTGAATATTTACTACAACATTTTAATATATGTATTTCCATGCTTTTTCAGTGTTTAACTTCATGACCAACCAACACGACCTCCTTCGAGTACCAAAGTCTTCCTGTGACACGTGCAGCGGCGACAATGCCATAGGCAATGTCATTTCAACTGGACCAGCAAACATAACTCTCGACTCGACAGGCGAGCACTACTACATTTGCACCTTCGGTAGCCACTGCAAAGTTGGCCAGAAGCTTGCTATAACAGTCTCAGGCACGCCAGGGGCCAATCCGCCAACTTCCACCCCACCAATCACCCCTACAACTCCTTCTCCCACCTCAAGTCAGCCCGATGCATGTGCACCTACTCCGTCATCAACTCCCAACGCTGGTGGGCCTACGGCTTCGGTAAAACCACCTGCTGGAATCCCTCCTGCACCTGATTCTTCCTCAACATATGTGTTTGCAAGTTTATTACCAGTTCTGCTATCCATTGGAGCGGCCTCAGTTATTTCAGAAGGAAATAAGATAAGAAGTATTCACGATAGACTAAGGTCAATTTTGTTTGCATTTCAATTTTATATAGGCTTTATTTTGGCCGCTAGTGTGAGACTGTGAGATCATTGAATTTATGGTGGACCTATAATTTTGTATTATTGTTTGTTTGCGGTTATGTTGTCATGTTTAATACAACATTTAAAATTAGCATAACAAGTAACTTATAAATTTCTGTATAGTCATAGTTTTCCAAATAATTTGATATCTAAAATTAATAAGATATATACACACCTTATGATTGTGTTTCATATATAGTAACAATTTCCACTCTAAAATAGTTTTTATATAACCCACGGTAATACTAATTAACAAGGATCGTTTTTCTTTTTCTTTCTTAGAATCTAATAAAGTCATAATTTTTTTTTTCCAATTTCTTGGTACATATCAGTATTTATAGGGATCCCTTTTGTTGATCAATATCGATCCTTGGTATTCTTTGGTATCGACACTTATTGATTGTCAAAACCTTTAATTTTCAGAAATCAATAGGTTTTATCGTGTTCTTCAAGTGTTGTTCACTTAATGTTGCACTAGTATCATAAGACTGAAAACATATTGAAAGTTACGGATTACCAAATTAACGGCTACTAAGTTACCGATTGGTTATTAATTATCCGTTTTTAGTTTTGAACGTACGTGTGGATCTCTAATTCTTGTGTTTTTCCTGTGCTTGCAGTCCACCTCTCCTAATACCCGACCGAGAGACTACATTCCTCAAAGTGTTAAGGAAGTCTGGTGTTTTGGATTCACGAACCTTAATGTTTTCCCAAAATTTGGTTGTTGGATCTCAAGAATGATTCCACCAATTAATTGTGTTCTTGGATTTGTATTTTATAGTTGGAGATATATGAGTAGTATGGGTCATGTAAAATTCTCCAAAATCGCAAACTAGGGTTAGCCGCATAACAGTGTCGTTCAAGAGAAGGGTATGTTGCTCGAGAGACGCCTGGGCGAGAAGCGAGCGACAATGGTTCTGTTTCTGTCGCTCGAGCAATGGCTAGGCGTGAGGCTAGCGAAATTTCAGCGCTACTTCTTCCTTTTTTCCAAACTCGAACTCAAACCCTAGGCTACCTAACTCAACTATACAAAATT